TATCCCCTCTATATATAATTTCAAAATAGTTAAGCCTACGTGACAAATTCTCACACTTCAGAATCCTATTTGGCAAAAAACTATGCTTTAGAGTTAGAATTGGATATAAATTAATATTTCTTACCACACTAAATTCATGATTGATTTTTTCTTTCTTTACTTCTACAATTACTTACCATAAATTATTTTATATTTCTTTTTCCTACCTTACCATACATTACATTTTAGTTTTCTTATTTAATGTATTCATTAGTTATTATAAATGTTTCTTCTTCTTAATTAAAGATTTTATAACTTTTTTATTTCTATTTTATTTTTTATATATGATATATCAAATTAAATAGTAATATATATTCTTATAAATAAAATTTAAGTTTACTTATCAAAATAAATTAAAAGATATCAAATAAAACTATAAATTTTATTATAAAATAATAGAAATTGGTATGTGTTCTCTTAAAAATGATATTTATTTCAAATTTAATTAGCATGTTATCAATCTAATAAAAATAAATAATTATTTATCTAAATTCAAAATTACATATAAAGTTAGAAAACTGTGAAGCACGACGGATACGACATTTGATGTATTAGGCATTTAATTAAGTAAAAAATTAATCTATTTTGCTTAATATTAAAAAAAATATATTCTGCACTTATGCATATACATATCACCATGTTTTTTCTATTTATTTAAGATATATATATATTTTTACTTAATAATAATAAATAATATCGATAATTTTATATGTTATAAGTACAAAAATTTAATATGAGTTGACATTTTTGTTTAATATACGGGTGTTTAATTATTGTGATTAAATAAAATATAATTTGACAATTTATTTAAAACTCAAAGAAATTTTTTATATAAAATTAAATTTTTTTAGTTTAAAATAAATTAATATTTTTACATATGCTTCCTAATTCAACACCCGTGTATTTACACGGATATTGTACTAGTAATATTTTATTAGAGAATAGAGAGTGGTGTTTGGACTTATGATGAGTTATTTTGCTAGATTAATAGATTGGTTTATTGGGTGGGCTAGGAATAGAATAAAAAAAAAAATTTAAGCCTAATAGTTGTTAAAAAAAAGTTAACATGCCTGGGCTTCAGCCCAACCCAGGCCAAGTGTAAATCCGTCCCAGCCCTCTCCCCGAATTACAAATAATTCGTCTCCCAGCTAATTGCTCGAATTACCTCCACATGTTTAAGATCTAACACCCATTGATTAATTTAATTACTGACAATATATTTAATCATTTTTTATAATTTTTTTTAGCTTGTTTTGGGGACATCATTAACCCAGCAGACCGAGGCATAGTGACCGTAAATAATGTCAACGTCACATCATATAATCATAATTATTTACCAATATACCGAATCTATCGACCTAACAAAATATGTCTCACTCTTGGCAACTCAAATAAATAATAACAAATACATATGCCCGTTTGTTGTCTTACGGGTTAAGAGAGCACAACAATTACTGAGGTCTAGATTATTAACCTGGTCAGTATAAAGTAATCTTATCCATCTGTAGGTCGGTTCAGTACATCCGAGATGTACAAGTATATTTCGCTAGTCAAAGATCAACTAACTCTAAAATCACACTACAACTTTTCAGGAAAGTTAGTTTAATTTTGTTTGGACTGTGAACAAATATTTATATTTTACAAGGAACTGATAATATGATCCTTTTATTCGAAACATATTATCAACAATGTAAAATAAAGGAACTGTTGGGTCCTATGAGGAACGTCGTCGAAGTGCGCATTCAAATTTATATAAAAAAAAATTATAATGTAGCGGAATCTATAGTTAGGATTATGACATACGGTTTAAAAAATTTATCGACTCTGAGAAGTTTCTGAATTCCGCTGTTGGAGATCGTCTGAAATTCAGAGTCTGTTGGGCTGCCAGACTTGGCCTCACCATCGCTCGACCGCACCAAATCCGTCGGCGCGGCCAAGGCGATCTCGACTCTCCAGCAGCGTAGTGGTCCCGCTCTGTTCTGAGTGTCGTGTCGGGCGTGGTCGAGGCGAGAAGTGTCGGGTTCCCCGGGTCCAAACATCGTCACGAGCGCCATCCGGTGGTCTGTGGTGGTGGTTCAACCATGGATCCTTCCTTTCCCGGCCTTCCCTGGTGATGGGACGGTGGGGACCTCCTGGCGGCGGCTCTAAGCTGTGGAGCAGCTCTGGAGTGTACTTGGAGGGGGCTGTGGTGGTGGGCCGACTTGGGTGGGTTCGCGGGTCTCTGGGGGAGGGTTTTGATTCTGAGGCTCGGTTCCAGTTTAACCAGTTGGGGTTTTTCTGGTTCTACTTGTGGGCTGAAGTACTAAGGGCCGTTCTCTTGGTTCGTGTCGTGGTGGCGATGGTTTTGCAGTCTGGTGCGGAGGGTGGTGTTGTTGGTTTCTATTTGTTTTATTGGTGTGCGTCGAGTTGTAGTAGGGTTCAGTTTGTTGGGTCTTTTCGGTTCTCCCATTTGGGAGCTTCTCCCCCTTTGGGAGTTGGGTTATTTTCGGTTCTCCCGCATGGGAGCTTCTCCACTTGTGGGAGTTTTTCCTCTCCTCTTTGGGAGTTTTGTGTTGGTTTTGTGTTATGTGTGTTTGTTGGTGTTAGTTGGCTTTAGACTACACTTCGTGTAGCTCTTCCACTAGATTCAGCAGATCGGCTGGTTCATCAGCAGATTCATTTTTTTCTAGTATCTAATTTGTGTTTCGTCTATAG